CAGGCAGATTCGGGCGGTGGAAAGAGCGAGCTCTGAAAGAGGCTGCTCTGCAGGCCTCGAAAGCAAGTCTGGGACGAGGAGAAGCTCCGAGGTACGTGGCTGACCGCCGACAGAGATCATCTTACTGTGGCCGCAAGTCCTCCAGGAGCTCTGTGCACCTGGGAGGTGGGTGCTGTCTCCCCATCTTTCGGACAGCAACTCTAAGCAAGAGTAGGAAGTCACCTCTGGGTGTGCAATCCCATGAGAGAGAACCGCAGATTCCGGGATGGAGATGTGACCGTCCCGGCATCACTCAGACTGGCTCCCCATGCCACGGCTGGCTGTGCCCACCCATTCCCCGCTGGCTCTTATTGGCAATGGGCCTGCTATGCCACGGGCCAGGATGGGCCAGCCGCAGGGATAGGGGGAGAGTGGAAGGAGCACCTGTCAAGGAGGAGCCTTGGGTGCTTATGAAATAAGCAGAGGAACGAGAAAGCTCGATCCTCATGCTGCCCACAGGCGGAGCCTGGCCAAGCTCAGAGGTGTCAGAGAGGGCGCTGACCTCGTTAGGGAGAAGCAGCCCGGGTGACTGGGGCGCAGACACCAAGGCCGACCCAGGGAGGAGGAGCTCTCAGTCTGGCGGGGGACGTGGGAGCGCAAGGTCACCCCACTCCTGGGCTGGGCTGCTCCCTCACCATCACTCCTCTCCCTGCACCCCCAGCGGCACTGCGGCCCCTTTGCTAAGGCAGGAGCAACAGAACCGGCTCCCGGGGTGCTGGTGGGCAGTGCTGGTCCCTGTCTGCTTCCCTTGAGGTTCTCCCTGGGGTTGTCCTCTCCCCTGGGCACAGACCCTGCCCTCCCTGGAGGCCACCCTCCACCTGCAAGGCAAGGGCTTCTGGGGACAGACTGAATGGAGGCCTCTTCATGAGTCAGTCACCTCATAAGCACCACCATCTCAGTTCCCCAGTTCCCTGGGGGGGGCGGGGCGCTGGGACACAGGGCCTATTGAGCCTGGCAGAGAGCTGGGTGCCCCAGTGGGCAGGACACCCCAGGGGAGGCTCAGAAGTGAAGTCGGACTTTGGGCTTGACCTCCAGGCCAGAGGGCAGTGGGGACAGATGGCCAGAGACCCTGAGGTCAGCCCCTCTGGCTTCTGGTGGTCGGGGGCCTGGTGGAGGCCTGTTTCTGGGACCTGGCGGGGTCCGTGAGGGCAATGCTGTGTGTGTGTTCGGGAAGAGGGTCCCTGGGACGCCCGGCTCAGCCCAGGCCGCCCTGGCACTTCCCTCTCCACCTACTGCCGGCCCCAGCCAGCCTGCTCTGTGCACTTAGAGCCTCCCCGTGTTGCTCATTAACGGGATTAGCAGAGCACTTTTATTGGGCCCTGGCGGCAGCCACACACCCCAGTCCCCAGCTAACCACCCAAGTGGCCTGGCGGGAGTCGGGTTAGACGTCGGGGCCAGTCTTACCCTGCACCCACAGCCTGCCCGCTTTTGGCAGCGCGAAGGGAGAATGCCGCCTCGCCAAGGGCCTGAGCAGGGGGGAGGGGTGGGGGCGGCCCCGTTAGGGGGGCAGTTTAGCAAAGGGGATAAAAGCACAAGCTCCGCCCCTGCCACCCCGGAGACGTGCAGCAAGTCTCCCCACATCTCTGTGCCTCAGTTTCCCACACGTGAGGACACCCAGGTCTGTTTTCTCGAGCGGCGGTAAGACGCAAATGAAATAACGCATGCAGACCGCACCCCAAAGCACAGCTTCCAGCCAGCAAACGTGAGTTCTAGGCCTGTTGCGATTGTACCAGTGATTGCGGTGACCCAGGGGACCCCAGGGTCCCCCTCCCCCTTCCTCCCCAGCAGGTGTCTCTGCCATCCAGCCCCCCACCAGCCTGCCCTCCACTGGACCTTGCGAAAGATTCCTTTTAATCAAGAAATGGCCCGCGGAGGAAGATGGCAGATATGTGTTTATAGCTTTGTTTCCCTCCTTGCCTTTCTGTAAACACCCTGTTCCAAGCTGGAAAATAAATTTCCAACCCTGTTGACGTGCATCGATTTTTCCCTCCGGCGTCCACCTCCTAGTCTTCCCCCGTCGGCAGAGTCTGTGGTTAAACCCCTGGCTTGGGCCGGGCTCAGTGGTACCCCAGGGGAGCGGGTGTCCCCGGGGCCCAGAGCAGCCAGCTGAACTGCTCCATGTTGCCCAGTGTCTGGCTCAGGGAAGGTTTGCACACAGAAACAGTTCCAATCCCCTTCTACTGTGAGGCTTCTTGGCCAGGGAGTGGGGTGGGGTGAGGGCGGGGAGGTTAGGGATTTTCAGCAACTTCCCTGGCTGGGCTCTATGGAAAGGAGACCAGGGGATCACAGGACTGCTGCAAGCTCAGCAAATGGATCCAGATGGGGTCTGCCCCAAGCAAGGACTGGTCTGCAAGGGGCCTGCCAACAGGGCCTGGGACCCGCTGTGCAAACGGGGGCTTGCGGAGAGAAGCCGAGGCGGCCGGGCTGGAATGTGTCCTGCCGGGCTCAGCGAAACAGGCAGCTTCCTGGTGCCGACCCCGGAAAGATGGCCCAGGGGCCAACTAGGAGGTGGACACAGTCCTGGCCTGGGGACTGCCACTCCCTCCTAGTGTGGCTGAGGGAGGCAGAGGTGGGTGCAGGGAGACAGATGGAGTTGGCTGAGAATGCTTCTAGAAACCCTGACAGCCCTGTCAGAGGCCACACTCTGGGTGGGAGCCAACCTCAGCCCCAGGGCCCTTTTTAGGAGGTTAAAAGGGCAGCAGTTAAAGGAGGCAGCCTGTGGGGAGGCCTTGCTCTTCTTCACTCAGACACCCCCACCCCACCCCTCTCCACGCTCCCCCTGCAGGGTCACCTCCGGCTGCACGGAGGGCTCGGAGGATGGGGGCTGGTCCTCCAAGGACCTCCTGTCCCTGCAGCAGGGTCCCTGCCCTCTTCCCAGGCAGGCTTGGGGGACGCAGGAGGGCAGCTTCCCGCAGCTGAGGGGCTGAGGATGAAGCGGCTCCTCCGCATTCAGATAACAGGGATCCCCTGTGGGGCTGGTGGGACCTGGGAGTAGATGAGAAGCAGGGCCACTCTGGCCTGGTTATCTCTGAGCTTAACACCTCTGTCTGAGCACAGAGCCCAGGCCGGCCGACGCCACCCGCTTCTCCCCGCACGCAGCCTGGCCCCAGTGCCGCAGGCACGCCCCTTCCTACCGGCCGAGCCTCTTTCGACCCACAGGGCTCCCACAAACAAGCTTTCTTTCCTCCTTGCCCAGCTCTTGTTCCTGACCCCACAGGCACGGAGACCCAGAACGTCACAGAATGAAGCCAAGACCACATGGCCTGCCCTGGCCCCCACCTGTCTTCCACTGGACCTGGCTGTGTGCGTGTGTGTGTCTCTGTGTGTGTGTGTGTGTGTGTGTGCTTGCGCGCTGGGGGTAGGAGCAGAGCAACTCACAGTCCAGCTCAATTCCTGCGTAGCCTTTGACCAACTGACAGGCAATGCCCACAGGTAGGGCATCAGTGGGAGGGGACACTGGTCTGGTTAGGAGCTGAAGCCGTTTCCCAGGTCCCTCCTATAACAGCTACGAAGTGACACCCGTCCCCGGCAGGGAAAGGCTTGCACAGAAATGCTGCCACCCCCACTCCCAGGAGACCCACGTTACTCAGGTCCTCCCCAGTCCTGGCTTCAAAGGAGAAGGGACAGGATCACCCACCGGACAGCCGGGACCAGCACCCTGTGCAGTGACCTCTCGGGGCCCCTCTCTCAGGATGACTCCGTGTCCTGACCAAGACAGAGTGCGCCCTGTCACAGCACATTACGTGCGGGAGAGCAGAGGCTGCGCAGGCCTGGCTGGCGTTTCCCTGGGTTTGAGGCATTTGATAAGTCTGGCTGAAGCCATGCTTAAGATCAGCCAGATCAGTGGTTCTCAACCTTCTGGCCCTTTAAATACAGTTCCTCATGTTGTGACCCAACCATAAAATTATTTTCGTTGCTACTTCATAACTGTAATGTTGCTACTGTTATGAATCGTAAAGTAAATATCTGATAGCAGGATGGTCTTAGGCGACCCCTGTGAAAGGGTCGTTCGACCGCCAAAGGGGTCGCGACCCACAGGTTGAGAACCGCTGAGTTAGATGCAGGAGCAGCCAGAAGGGGAAGGGCCTTAGCGGGAGGCAGGGGACTCACTGGAGCCCCCGTTGGGCGCAGACAGCGGTGCTGAATGACCTGGGCCTGTCACTTCACTTCTCATCTGCTTCCTCATTGGTCAGGCAGGAAGC